GTCTTTACTGTCATTTTTGATCAATTTAATGCATCCTTGCTGAAATAAAAATGAATTTCTTTCTTTCAAAACCTCCCCTAAAACTATATAGGAATTGCTATTTCTCTACAAAACCAATTTCAAGCATTTAAAGCAGAAATCTACAGGTTTTTAAGATCATGGCACACATAAGTTCAGTCAAGCATGTCCAAATATTATATTATTATTTGCTTGTCAATGATACAGAAAATGGATGAGTTTTGGGCCGTGCAATATATATTTTAAGGTTGTTGTTTTTTCTTTTTTTAGGAATGGCTCATACAGTATTAAACCTAAATTGAGGAAAACACATGCTTGGCCTTTACATTATATTATTTGACAGTGTTACTGCCTAATTTATGATACATGGTTTAAAACAGAACAATTAGAGATCTATAACATTCCTAACAACACAGTGACATTTTAAATTCGCATTAAATGCCATAAGATTTGGCTCTTTAGGAAAGTTCTCCTGTACTTTTAAAGACCACTGATTAGTATGACGTGCACGGTATATTATGTATTACACTATGCCATAAAAACTAAGCATTGTGCACTGTCATGCATATGTGTGCATGCAACTGGTCATTTTTAGCAAGATAGCAGGGCATCAGAGAGTTTTGTGGAGCAGAACCACTGGCTAAGCACCATTTCAAACCGAAAGCAGGTTTCTTTTGAAATCAGCTGGAGTGGGTTAGCGGATGGGGGGTGGCAGTGACATCGCGGCTCAAGTGGCAACATTTGTGCAATTCCAGCGGGACAGGATCGGAGGCCACAGCTGAATCTGTTCTGTTTGATCCGGTTGATGAGGAAGACTGAAGCAGGCAAAGCTACATAGCTGAAACTCTTTAGACGCATGCTGGTTAACTCATGGTGTGAGAAAACAAGACAAATCCCACTGACCCATTCTCTGATCCTTCTTCCTCTTTTCCATTCATCCCTTCATTCGGTTTATCTCCTTCTCCCTGTTATTTTTACTGCGCTACATTTCCAGGTGCCTGAGACGACCATCTGAGAGCCTACAAGCACTACAGCGACAGCTTCCAAAGCCTCAAAGGTTTATGTGATACCGCTGCTCTGACAGAGACAAGTTTGGGTCCGTAAGTGGGATTTTACCTTGGTCCGAAAAATACAAACCAAGCAGAAGATGTTTGTGAGTTATTCGCTAATAAACACGAGTGTCCGCAGGTCTCATGTGAAAACTTGAGACAAAGGGGGGAGGTTGAATTGGGGACTTCAGGGACCACCTGCTGTAGCACAAGACACTGATATGGCTGTGAACGGTTTCTATGGTTTTAGAAGTTGATTTGGGCCCAGGCCCAGTGGACGGTTTCTGCTGTGGTCGCTGACAGAGGGACTGTATCTGCAGCTGTCCCTGTTAATTATACTGTTATCCCGGGTTTGGGAGGCGTCCCAATCAAACTGTGGAGGAGACACAGAGCATGACTTCATTGACTCCACGTCCACAGGGAATGCTATCTCCCATTTTGCACTCCTCATAAATGCCTTTGGGTGTGATTGCTTTATCTAGATCACACCTATAAACTCTGCTGTTCCCACACTGTAAAGTATGGTAAATTACCACCCTCCCCTTTGAACAGATGGTGTACAGTCACATAAGAAAAAAAAATCATGCTTTCGAAAATAATACAATTCATAATTATGACATACAGTCACATTTCAACATTTTATCTCATAATTTTGACTTTTTATATCACTTTCAACTTCATCTCATAATGACTTTTATTTCATAATTTAAATTTTTTAAATCTCAGTTATGACTTAGTATGTCATAATGGATCTCACAGTTTTGATCTTTTGTCATAATTTAATCCATTAGGTCATAACTGGTTTTATGCTATAATTTTGACATTTTATCTAATAATTATCATCAAATTTTTGTCTTTTTATCGCAATTATGACTTAATATCTCAAAATGTTGTCTTTTTTGTCACAACTGGTTTTATGCCGTAATTTCAACTTTTTATCTCATACTGATGACTTTATAAAGTGGTAGTTGTTTTTATGTCATCATTTCAACTTTTTGCCTCATAATTATGACAGTGGTACTTGTCATTTAGGTCATTATAATGACTTTTTATTTGATAATTTGACAGTCATAATTTCAGCTTTTTGTCATAATTGATTTTATCTCATAATTGTGACTTATGTCACTTTCAACTTCATCTCATAATGACTAATGTATCTCATAATTATGACTTAGTATCATTATGTTAACTTTGCCATAATTATGACTTTTATGTCATAATTTCAATTTTTAATCACAATTATGACATAGTATATCTCATAATTTATCTCACAATTTTTTATTTTTGTAATAATTTCATCTTCTATGTCTGAATTGGTTTTATTCTATAATTTTGACATTTTATCTCAAAATTATGATAATTTTTGTCCTTTATCACAGCCGACTATTTGCCATAATTTCATCTTTTATGTCAGAACTAGTTTTATGCTGTAATGTTGAGTTTATCTCATAATTATGGTTTTTAATCATTTTGACCTTTTATTTCAATTATGACTTAGTATCTCATAATGTTGACTTTTTGTCATAATAATGACTTTTTATGTGGTAATTGTTTTTGTCACCATTTCAACTTCCTGTCTTATATGTCACACCCTTGGACTGTTTTGTTGCGTTTTCATCCCTCGTGAGTTCCTTGACCTAGTTTCTGTCTCCCCTTGATTATCTTAGTCAGTTAACCTGTGTCTAGTTAATTTAGCCGTTAGTCCCTCATTGGTTTGTCTACTTAAGTTGTAGTTGTTTCAGTTTGTCCTTGTCCAGTGTAAACGCCGATTGCTACGTGTGATTCCTGCTTTCCTTCTGTGGATTATCTCTATGTGGATTCATTAAAGACTGTTTACATCATTCATCTTCTTCGTGCGTTTCTTATACACTGTAGTGTGACAGAACCCTGGACCTACAAAAAGGAATATGGAATGGGCAACTAAATTCTCTGCCGTGGCTTGGGAGAGCCACAACTTTTACTCATTTACTCTGGGGTTTGCTCATCTGGCAGTTATGAGCCCCTTCGATGACGAGACCCTGAAATCCCTTTGCCGGATCGGGGCAAACTTTCACTGCCCTATGGACCTCCCAGACACCACATTACTGGAGGGAGTCCATTTTCCAGTGTGTGAAGGTTGTCCTCCCCCGATCAGGAACACCACTTGACACAGACTCCGTGGAGCAACAGCCTGAGCCCACCACCGACGGAGAGCCATCGCCCTGGAGCCAGAGCCTCATGAATCGTCTGACCAGTTGCGAGAGTCGGCTACTGAGCACGCGCCAGTGGATGAAGCAAGGGAGTGCGAGGGCTTGGAGGAAAGCCCCGCCCACTGCACCACCGCTGAGGGTGAGATCCCGCTGGACTCTGAGGATTTATATGCGGACATGCCCACTCTTCTCCCACCATCATCTGAACTGTCAAGCTGCCCCGAACTGTCTGTCTGTCCTGTCCTATAACAGGTCGTTCCCCTGTCCGCTGCGCTCCCGTAATTGGGAGTCCCAATCTGGTGTAGGGTGTGGGCAGCACATACCATCCCTGAAGTCGGCGCCAATAGCCTCGTGGTTAGTGCGTCGACATACAGCGCAACTGTGTTCAGGGCGACCTGAGTTCGATTCCAGTCTCGAGGTCCTTTGCCGATCCCGCTCCCCTCTCTCCTCCCAGTGCTTTCCTGGCATCACTCTACTGTCCTATCTCAATAAAACGCATAAAAAGCTCATAAAAAAAACATCCCTGAAAACCCTGGCGCTCACAAATTCCCACCCTCCCTCTCCTGTCATCCCTACTTCCTTAACTTAGCTCACCCTCAGCCCACCATCCTGCGTATCTGCCAGTCTCCATCGGTGTCATGGCTGGACGATCCCTTGTCTCCGTCTCTGGCCTCTGAGTCCCGGACTCCACCTCAGCCCGTCGACCCAGCGGTTCCACCATGGCTCCTAGCTCCCTCCCATCAGTCCACCAGCTCCACTGGGCTCCCTCATCCCTCCGGCTCCACCTTGGTCAGTTGTCGACCATCTGCTGCCTCCACTTCTATGGCTGTGCCTCGTCCCTCCGGCTCCCCCTTGGTCCTCAGTCGCTCCGGCTCCACCGTGGCCTTCCGGATCCCCACCGGTGGGGGGAGTGGCCTTCCGGATCCCCACCTCTGCCTCGGTCACATTTAATAATGTGGATTTATTAAAGACTGTTTACATCATTCATCTTCTTTGTGCATTTCTTATACACCATAGCATGACATTATAATTATGACAGTGGTGCTAGTCATTTTTGTCAAAATAGTGAGATTTTATTTGATAATTTGACTGTGATAATTTCAGCTTTTTCTCATAATTTTGACTTTGTGTCTCTTGTGACTTGTGGCCAAGTATAGTGAAAACTAAATTAAAGGTATTATAGTTCTCATTACGGTTGTTATTTTATATTGGGGACCTACAAGGCATGATTATTAGCCCTTTACCACCAACGTTTGTTGCCATCATTGTTTACCACTAAGATGGCAGCATGTACTTGATTACTCACATTTAGTTGCTACAAAAAAATGACAAGAATTTGTGAAAAATATGAGACAAACCTCCAAAGTACAATAAGCTACAGCACTAAGTACCTTAAAATATTTAACATAAACCAATATTTGTTTTTTAGGGTATTGACTGGGATTAGGTCACAAGCAGTTATCAGAGAATGGCTGTGCTTTCTTGCTTTCAGGGTCCGGTTCCTTAAAACATCTTTCTGCCGTGCATATTTATAATCACAATGATGCATATTTAGCTGTCGTGTTCTCATTAACGACACAGGTCAAGTAATTATGTGAATCGTTTTATGCTACGCGTTGAAAAGAAAAATAATCACTGAACCGGTTCTTTGAAAAGATGAACTGTTCATAAGAACCGATTCCCAGAAATGAGTCGGACTTTCCCGTCAAGATGTCCTTTCTGACTCCCCGTAGTAACGCTCACGTGATCACAACAACAAACATTTACCGCGAAAACTGTCTACGCGAGTACATTGGAAATAGCTAGCTAGCTAGCTAAGACTTTATCCCCCCAAAAATATCGACATCTTTCAGTTACAAACAAATTTATAATGTTCTGCGAAAAGGCAGTCGAGCTTATTAGAGAACTACATCGAATGGGCGACGGTCAGCTGCCCGCCTTTAATGTGAGTAACGTACAGCGCTTCGTACAGTAGTGATAACACCAAATTTAACACACCTGCTCCCCATTCACACCTGAGACCTTGTAACACTAATGAGTCACATGACACCGGGGAGAGAAAATGGCTAATTGGGCCCAATTTGGACATTTTCACTTAGGGGTGTACTCACTTTTGTGGCCAGCGGTTTAGACATTAATGGCTGTGTGTTGAGGTATTTTGAGGGGACAGCAAATTTACACTGTTATGCAAGCTGTACGCTCACTACTTTACATTGTAGCAAAGTGTCATTTCTTCAGTGTTGTCACATGAAAAGATATAAAATATTTACAAAAAATGTGAGGGGTGTACTCACTTCTGTGAGATACTGTAGTTTAGTTGTTGGGTACATCATAGTAATATTTGTTGCAATACCTTGTAAAAGAGGTAATAGAATGCTTCAAATATGTAAAAACAAATGTGTGTGTGTGTATATATAGGCCTATCAGCACTGACCATTTAATTCCCATTCAGGTGCGCTGTCTTAAAGACCATGGAGAATTTGAAATAGATGATGGCACTGTCATTCTGTTGAAGAAAAATAGCCAGGTAACTATATTCTTAAGAGCATGTTTAAATATTTATATATATATATATATACTGTATATAGCATAACACGTTTCACCCTCTGTCTTCACAGCACTTTTTACCCAGATGGAAATGTGAGCAGCTTATTCGGCAGGGTGTATTAGAGCACGTCATCTCCTAACAAGAAGCAGCTGTATTGTGGATACTTTCCTTCACGTTCATGTGGATATTACAACTTTAAATTAGAGTGAATTATCTAATCAGAAAGCTACACGTGTACACAGGTAAAACTTTACTTGGTCACATTCTTTACAGTGGTACATGATGCATTTACAACACTTTCATCTCCCAACAGTTAGCCAGCTCTTTTAAATGATGTGTACATCATAAGAGACATCTGCAACACAATTTATATCAAAGTGGACATTAGTGCATCATGATTGACAACTGTGCAATTACAAGATAGTATTTGTATCAAAACTGTACATTGTGTGAATACTGTGCTTTTGGTTATTGCACCACAATGGGCATTAAAACTGCAGTAAAAAGTGTTTTTTTTTTTTTACAAGCAAATATTGAAGTCAACACATTTACAAGAATGCTTGCAGTTTGTAGCCTACATCACAGTGAACAACTGAAGGAATGTGTAATGCTCTGTCCTTAATAAATGATCAAATCTCATACTACAAAAGTCTTGTTCATTGGCATTTGTTTGCCTCTGAAGAGACCATTGAATTAACTTAACCCTTCTTTCTCTTTATACTCTTGAAAACAGCATGATTTTTAATACAATATGCTGTTACAGTAATTCTTTAAGACTTTGCATTCTGTGCTTTCATTTTAACACTAGGATTGGTTTTACAAAAACACGTTTTGCACCAAAAGACAAAAGTGCACTAAAGGGTGGGACTTCACAGTCCAGTACAACAAATAGAGGCTCATAATGGAGTGCAACAAGTCTAAGCTGTGAGGGATGCTGGGGCAATTTTACGTAGCAGTTTATTAAGGGCGATCACTTTCTCCTCCAAAAGAAAAGATTTCTTCTCTGCACTCTTCTGCCTCTGCTCCGTCACCTGAAGAGCCTTCATGAGCTGAGAGTTTTCCACATACAGGTCCTTCAGCAGCAGATCTGACTTGGCATTTTTGGCTAGCTATGGGGTGAAAAAAGTTAGAAAGATGATTGTCACCATATTAAATATCTTAAAATAACTTCAGCATACTAAACTCTTACCATTTCTGAAGTTCTTAGTATGTACTTTCACTAGTTACAGGGCTACCACATTTATATTCAATTAAACATTCAAATTAAAGAAACCGTTCATCTAAAAATAAAGATGCGTTTACAATTTACTCACCCCCAGGCTATTCAAAATGTAGATGAGTTTGTTTGTTCATCAACAGATTTGGAGAAATTTATCAATACAACTTTTTCACTGGAGGTAAGATTTTGGACAGTTTTAAGTGCCTGAAAGGGGTCATATGATGCGATTTAAGTTTTTCCTTTCTCTTTGGAGTGTTACAAGCTCTTGGTGCATAAAGAAGATCTGTAAAGTTGCTAAGACTAAAGTCTCAAATCCAAAGAGATATTCTTTATAAAAGTTAAGAGTCAACCACGCCGACCTAAAACGGCTCGTTCTAACACACCCCCACATGTCTACGTCACGATGTGGGAAGATTTGCATAACGCCGCCCAAATGTTCACGCAAAGAAAGAAGGTGTAACTTTTATTCTCGCTGTAGTAGTGTTGCCACCGCCATTTCGTGAAGATGATTTGTGTTTCGTTGTGGCCTTCCAAAAGAGGACGATATCCGCTGATCCGTGCTGGCTGCTGAGGAAATACATAAACTTTGTGCTGTGGATCACCGGATCGGCTTTCACCGTGGACGAAGCGGAGTCCAGCCTGGGGTCGTCACATGTGGTTGCCGCAAGCCCGCCGCCCTCCGCTCACTCAAGCCCGCCATGTGTGATGCGGTGTTTCGTTGTGAAAGTGAAACTACTTTGTTTGGCCTTCCAAAAGAGAACATGACTAGAAATCAGTGGTTAAGTTGTATTTACAACACTGTTCCAGAACAGTTCAACCCAAATATTCAGATGTGTGCTGCGCATTTTATGGAGGACTGTTTCCTGATCCTGGTAGAGTAGACCAGGATCAGGAAACAGTCCTCCATAAAATATTCAGATGTGTGCTGCGCATTTTATGGAGGACTGTTTCCTGATCCTGGTAGAGTAGACCATATAATGCCGGCTGTTCCGACTCACGGACTGCAAGTACTTTTTTTATTTTGAAAGAATTTGCCACTGACGATTCAACCGCAAGTTTTGAGCAGTGTAGAGTAGCGCTTGTTGTTTGTCATTGCTCCGATCACAAATGCAGACATGGGTTTGCATACGCGTAAAAAGACAGTATAAGTCAATATAATCCGTAATTATGTCCCCACTGGATGCAACAAATGCTTCGTTTATAATGGGTTTTAATGTTTTTGTCTCGTCGCTCCGGCTGGACAGGGCATCACAATATGGTAAGGGGCATAATATTTCCGTCACAAGCTTGAGGTATTCGGCCAATCACAACGCACTGGATAGCTGGCCAATCAGAGCACCCCCTCGCTTTTCAGACCGATGAGCTTTGTAAAAATCGACGGGTTTCAGAAAGGCGGGGCATAGAGGAGAAACAATAGTGTACAGTATGTGGAAAATAATGTGTTTTTTAAACCTTAAACCGCATAAACATTTCATTACACCAAATACACAATGTTATTTTTAGCAACATCATATGACCCCTTTAATGATGGATTTGTTTCTTACAAATACACAACTTTTCACTTCACTACATGTTAATTAATGGACGGGAGTCGTGTGGTTCACTTGTGGATTATTGTCATGTTTTTATCAGCTGTTTGGACTCTTATTCTGATGGCACCCATTCACTGCAGAAGATGCATTGGTGAGCAAGTGATGTAATGCTACTTTTCTCCAAAGCTGATCTTATCTACATCTTGGATGGCCAGAGTTTCATTTTTGAGTGAACTATTCTTTAACCATATTTATTTCGAAGATGATATACAGTATGTGGGTTTATGTTGTGTGAAAGTTTTACTTATTGCAATATTTTACATAGTGCATGCCTACTAAAGCTTCACATACTAAAAACTATAGGAAAAAAAAAATTGTAAACATTATGCAGTATTTAGTTTCGAAAATATCCATATTTTCTAAATGTGGTTTTAATGCCATTAGTTTCTGGTTACCTGTTCTTTTAGCTGGTTGACCTTCTCCTGCAGCATGACACGGGTGTTTTTCAGTTTGGCCTCAACCTCATCCATACGCTCCTGCATACTTGCCATCAATTTCTCGTACTGCTCCTGTTGTTTGATTTAATAGTTCATTAATAAAAATATACTTGAAATATGAGATCAAGGGTGAAAAAAAATGTAAATGATTCAATGCAAAACTGTATATCAATCTCCCTGTTTGACTGCCTTAAGATTTTGAATGTGATGCTGATGTACCTGCTGAAGTCCCATCTGAACACCGGCCTGTTTGGCCTGAGAGCGAAGCAGATCCTCTAAATCCTGCGACCTGCGCTGTTGCTCCACCAGTTGAGTTTGCAGATGAGCCAAGTGCTCCCGAGTGCCAGAACCCACCTGTTCCCTTAGTTCCTGCACCTCACGTGCATGCTGGGCTTGGACCATTGATAGAGCGCTATCTGCCCTTAGTGCCTAAACATCAAACACACAAAAGTGAGACCAAAAACATTCATAAGGAATTCTCAATCAGTAAGAAGTTTGAAAATGATCTTCAAACCTGTTCGTCTGCCTCATATTTAGCGGTCTCCAGCTCTGCCTGTTTGTTCCTCAAAGTGAGGCACTCATGTGTCAGTCTCTGAAGTTCCAGCTCCTGAGTCTGCAGCTGAGCCATCTAGAAATATAATCCAGCATATCAGAAAGATTTCTGAAGACTGGAGTAATGATGCTGAAAATTCAGCTTGGCATCACAGGTATAAATAACATTTTTAAATATATTCAAATACTAATTTTATAAATACTAATACAAATACTAATATTTACTGTATTTATGATCAAATAAATGCATGCTTGGTGAGTATATGAGACTTCAAATACATTGAAATTCCCTGTAGTGAATACAGAAGAACATTCCTGCAACTAAAAGTATGGCAATATCAACCACAATATCATGGGTTAGATTCCCTGTGAATGCAACTGATCTATACATTGAATGCACTTAAATTTATTTTGGATAAAAGCCTCATGCATAAATGTAAATGCATTCCAAATAGTTCACTAGAAATAAAACGGGGAGCAATTATGCATATTTGCTTATAATTGCATAGAGGAAAATCCATGCAAAAGCTATTTATTGTTCCCGACTAACCTTATTACGAAGTTCCTCGTTCTGTAGTCGCAAACTCTTGCACTCCTTCTGCAGGACACCGACTGCCATCTCCTCCTGAAGCCTCTGGGTCTGATGTAACTGCTCCTTCTCTTTACGCAACTGACGTATGCTCTCCTCAAGCTCCTGGACCTTGTGTTTTACAACAATACTTACAAGTTATTTTTTATTAGTACTGAATGACTGCAAGTAGTATAAAGATCTTTGTTGACCTTTTCCTGAGACTGTTGCAACATCTTCTGATGTGTGGCTGACTCCTGGACGTGAACATCCTTTTCTTGCCACATAGTCAAGATCTGGGAGTTGAGCTGCTCTATCTGGGCTTCTGATTTGCCAAGAGATTCCTGAAGATTTATCAGCTGCAACAAACACAAAGCATGTTTCAGCATAAACATGCTGGAAATATACTCTGCGAAAAAGCCTCAACATCTCACCTTCTGGTCTCTGTCTGACGTTTCCTTCAGCAAACGCTCCTTGTCTTGCTCTAGTGCTTGGTTTTTCAGAGTCTGACAATTCAATGCAGAATCAACGGCCGTCAAACGCTGGAGCTGAAGAAAAATAAAACACAATTTCAGCGATTCCTGCCAACTTTGAAATAATTTGTTAAAATATCCTACACAACCAATCCATACCGTCTCCTTGGCAGTTTTAAGCTCCCTCTCTAGAAGCTCCTTCTCTTTCTGCCACTGTTCCTGCAGCTTTAGTGTGTCGCTATTCTGCTGTTGTAGGGCTTCCTGCAGCTGTTTGTAAGCCGCAGCTGCCTCATCGTTCTCCTGACACACCTGTGCAAGCCTGTCAGTCAGCGTCTGCACTGCTCTCTGATCAGTAGACAGCCGGGAACTCAGTTCAGCGTTCTCACTGCTAAGTTGCAGGTTTCTCGCACTGAAGTCAAGCACCTCCTCTCGAAATTTGGAATTCTATGTTGAAGAAATCAAATAACTGTTAGGAGCAGCAACTAATGGTTTGCAACCATTTCATTTTCATAACGTGACATTTAATGGGAACATGACAGGTGGTTGGAGTGGTTGAAAAACAATGGGGCTTGGTGATCGTAAATGGAAAGTTGTTTTAGAGGTGGATCAATAATTAATATATGGAAATTAAACGGAAAAATAATGACTTTTGAAAAATGTCTTCTCTTCAGTGTCAGTCTTTGGTGCATGTTCACAAGAGTACCACGATGCATGCGTCACCTTGTTTACAAGTAGAGGTAGACCGATTCATCGGTTTTGCCGATTAATCGGCACCAATAGTTGATTGGCGGAACTATCGGTTATCGGC